GAACTGAGCGGAGGGTGTCAGGGAGACGGGTGACTATGAAGTGGAGTGTCCAGTACAGTGGAGGGGGGTTCTTAGCGCAGAACTCGGTGGGAAGGGCGGCACGCAGGCGAGCATCACTAGTGCGAAGGTGGGTGATAAGATCGGCGACTGTAGTAAAGGTGGACAGATCGGGGAACAGGTACGGCAGCATGAGGCGGCTAAGCTCGGCTGTGGCAGGCGAGGAGTAGCGAGCAACGACAGCATCGTACAGGGCCTTAGCGGATTTGCAGTCGCCAAAATGCTCGAGCTCAGCTAGCGGCAGGTGACTACGAATGGCTAGGCGAGCAGCTGCGTCACGAGTCTGCCAGTGGGAACGAACACTAAGCTCGGCTGTGGCAGCAGGAGCAGCGGCAGCACCAGACGCGTAGTCATAGAGGGAGATGTGGTCCGTGCTATTGCTCATAAGATACAACTGCAGGTCGTCGAGCCAGGAAGTGAACTGCACGGGACGGCCCTCAGCATCGAAGGAAAGAACGCGAATAGAGGCCATAGCTCAGGCGTGAGGGCACAGCAGAGCAGCGGCAGCAGCAGAGGGGACGCAGCAAGCGGGCAGTGAGGCAGCGGGCGGCGCTGCGAAGCAGGTAGCGGGCGGGCGGGCGGCGCTGCGAGCGGGCAGCGAAGCGGGCGGGCCGCGAAGCGGGCAGCGAGCGGGCGGGCGGGCTGCGAAGCGGGCGGGCCGCGAAGCGGGCAGCGAGCGGGCGGGCGGGCTGCGAAGTGGGCGGGCCGCGAAGCGGGCAGCGGGGCGAGCGGGCTGCGAGGCGGGCGGGCCGCGAAGCGGGCAGCGAGCGGGCGGGCGGGCTGCGAAGCGGGCGGGCCGCGAAGCGGGCAGCGAGCGAGCGGGCTGCGAAGCGGGCGGGCCGCGAAGCGGGCAGCGAGCGGGCGGGCGGGCCGCGAAGCGGGCAGCGAGCGGGCGAGCGGGCTGCGAAGCGGGCGGGCCGCGGAGCGGGCAGCGAGCGAGCGGGCTGCGAAGCGGGCGGGCCGCGAAGCGGGCAGCGAGCGGGCGGGCGGGCTGCGAAGCGGGCAGCAGGACGAGCGGGCTGCGAGCGGGCGGCTCGGCGGGCGGGCGACACTGCGAGGGGCGCGCGAGGGCGCTAGTGAGGGGCGCGCGAGGGCGCTAGCAAGGGGCGCGCGAGGGCGCTAACGAGGGGCGCGCGAGGGCGCTAACGAGGGTGCGCGCGAGGGCGCTAACGAGGGGCGCACGAGGGCGCTAACGAGGGCGCACGAGGGCGCTACGAGGCTAGGGCACGGGGTAGCGTGGTAACCGCATGCGAGCGGTGGTGGGCCCTTAAAAAAAAAACGGTCGGTAGGTCCTAGGGACCTCCTGCTCTGAATACCATTTCAGAATAGCTAGGCAAGAATGATTGAACTAGCAGAAGTTTGGGTACAAATATGAAACCCTAGTTGGGGTTGTACCCCATATTGGCTACCCCACTACAGCCTACAAGCATAATACAGTTTAACAGACCTCTGATCAGACTTGGTGCTTCGAGCGATTTCTTTATAAACACAGGTTCATGACGTGAGAAAAAACCAGTGATGCGCGACGAACTGGTCGCGCGAAACCTTTCACACATGCGTGCTGTTTCGGCGAACCAGTGTCAGGAAATCGTTGAAACACGTGTGAAAAGACACTGTTTTGTCGGGTATGAAGCATTCGAATATTTTTCGGCCCCCAAACGCACGTGTCAATCGCATGTGACGTGTCAGGACACGTGATTTTCCTTTGCAATTTCGCGGGAGCGTTGTGCAGTGCCACGTCACCCACGCGTTTTGCAGAGCGCTTCGCCAAACAACAAGAAACGTTAATTAAAAAGCCTGTTCAATCCGAAAATTTAGTGTTTGGCTCGAGTCTAACAAGAGGCCAGTCTGACTAGAGGCCGTAGGAACACGCTCTTAGACAAAAGTATCCCGGTAGCGACACTCGTAAAAATTTTTACGAAGCTGGTAAATTCGGCCACTTGTTGGAAATTTGATGGGCATTTCAAAGTGCCAACAAAGTTGTCGAATAGACGTGTAACAGTATTCCTACGACGTCGCATTTTCGAGTCAGCGACTGAACGGATTCATCTAGACCAGAAATCAAACTTTGTGACGCCGTCGCAACAATCCGGCCAAACATCCGACTGCAAATCTTCCACTTTCGGTACAACGGCCAGCAAATCGGCCACCAGATGTGTCATATTTGCAAACCCTAGTTTTGAAGGCCGTAGGTTTGTCGACTAAAAGTCGCCCTGTCAGTCGACTTTTGCGAAATAAATCTGACGACCAAATGGTCGACAAAAACTAGGTTAAAACACTTCTGCACATCTGACACTGTTGAAGGAATTTGGCCCCGCCCTCGCATGGGCAAAACTGACTTCGTGGTCGGGTGTGCGGGAGGTGCAGCCGACCTTCTGCAGGTGTACAAGGGTTGCCTGTACACGAGGTGTACTAGGGAATCCATGCAAGAGTAACTGAAGCATCCGCGAGTGCAACACAGATGTCTCGTGCACATGTACATGCGACGCAGCTCGTGCAGAAGTTCGCGGGTGTTCGTCTGCGCAGGGTCGCGTCTGACCTTGCGCACCCTTGAGACTGAACAGGCGAATTTTGGCCATAAATTCGTATGTGCCTTAATTTCGACCAATCAGGAGCTGACATTTTGGAATGTCGACCGAGGTGGTCGACGAAGGTGGTCGACGAAGGTCGTCGACCCGCGACGACGAAGGTCGTCGACCCGCGACGACGAAGGTCGTCAACCGGTGATGACGAAGGTCATCATCCTGCAGAGTTGCCAGGAACCTTTCCTAGTTGACCAAGTTACCTGCTCGACGAGGTGTGCGAAGATGCGCGAACGTCGTCGAGGCTGATGTGGCGAAGTCGACCGACGTGGCAGCACGTGGTCGACGTGGCTCGTCAGGTGCAACCGTCAGCATGTGGCTGACAACCTGCGCAATGTACTTGACAGTGCACGTCGTGCATAACTGTCTACAAGCACCTGCGAAGTAGGTGCTTGCACATGCGCTTACAATCACCTGCGGATGCAATGTTGGCAAGCTGAGCGGATGTTGCGTTGGCAAGCCGCGCGGGTGCAGCGTTGGCATGTCGCCATTCTGCAGCGTTGGCAAGTCGCACACAAGCTGCGTTGGCGGGCCGCAGACATGCTACGTTGGCAGGTCGACGACTTTGTCGTGCTGGCGATCGACCTGCCTGAGCAATAGCAAGCCTTGCATGTGATGTAGTCAATCGTTGTCATTGCATGTTCATTCTGAACTCTGTTATTCTCAACTTTCCTTAGTGAAACTCTTGCTGTTTTGCCCTGTGAAAACACAAGTCCTAGAGAACACAGACAGAGCTACGATCATTTTGACAACTCGTGCCAACCCCGTAGTCTAGCTTCCACCCTTGTAGAGTTAATCTCCGCAGACACACCCTGAATAGCGTTCCTAGGCTAAGTTGTATGCATATGAAAATGGTCGTCAACTGTAGCTCCTTCGCCACTGCGAGCGCAAGCGCGCTGTACCCTGACATTCGCTGGCGACGGAAATCGTTAGGAAAATAATTAAGTAGTAAGTCAATCTAAGGATGCTGAGATCTTGGAAATTAATGTTGGGATGTGTAGACCAAGGTATCCAATACACATGATTGACCAAGGTTGCCTTGTGAAGGGGGCTTTTAAATCATTCTTGGCATTTTGCAAGCTTCGTCAACGTCGCAGCTAGCAAAAAAAGGGCTTAGAAATTTCAAAAAAGTTACACGTTGATAATTGATGTCGGTCTCTTTGGTACCATTGGTTCATCAACATTGCATTGAGAGTTGACGTCGGTCAATATTCGTTACCATTGATTCATCGAGGGGCTTGTAAAAAGGGTGCAACTGCCCGGCCCCAAAAACACGCGTGCAGATTTTCTGTTGAGCAAAAGTCTTGTGCGGAACATCGTTGTTCAGGCTACATCGGGCTTCTGTGAAATAATCATGCGACGCGACGATTTTCAACTTTCGCTCAATCCTGTGGACTAGCCTCGCGCCGCCCTCCACGTTTTTTAATATCTATCAATCCCATAGACTACTACATGCGCTTTTGCGGTATGATTACACTTTTTCTGGAAAGAGTGTTGAGACTGTTTGGTTGGAAGATACATTATCAAACAGGCATGGTTTACCCTAACCTTGTTTCTGTTTTTTTTTTTTAAGAATATATAATGCACTGCCTGCGTGAGCAGACAGTGCAATCGAGTCAGCAAGCTGACCGCGGGCAAGAAAAAAAACTGAAACCCACTCGGATGGCATGCCATCCGAGGGAGCCTCAACCCTAAAATTTTAGGGTTGAGGCTCCCGAATGGCATGCCGTAAGCCATCGGTTTTTTTTTCCCGCGGTCAAAAACTTCCGCCATCGTGCCACTGTCCATGGATCATGGATGCAGACGCGCAAAAAGACAACCACGCTGGGTTTGCAATCATTGCAGTGGGATTGCGTCAGATACGATTTCTCGCAAAAGCACGGCCTGCTAGGGACCCTAAACTCGAGAATAACGAATACGCAGGACAACAGCTCTGTGTTGGCGGGTGTAGCAACAAGTGGCAGTCCATGGGATTGATAGATATTCAAAAACGTGGAGGGCGGCGCGAGGCTAGTCCACAGGATTGAGCGAAAGTTGAAAATCGTCGCGTCGCGTGATTATTTCGGCGGCTGTACATAAGATACTCCACTTCTTTCAGACCAGCCCCAACAGTTTCGGACCACCCTCGGTACATTTGTACAGTAAGCCGTCGATCCGAGGGATAACCGGTCGTTGACCTCGTCAACGCATTCCCTTCGTTGCCCCCAGAAGCTGATTGGGTGAGGTGGAATGAACAAATCAAGAAGCTACAAGCTGCGCAATTGCGTGTGCATGCTACAAGCTTTCGTCAGTGGCTGCGAAATCACGATGAGGCTGTTGTCTTTCGCTTGATGCATCTCCCGAATTCGTCACACAGCAGAAATGGGGGAGAATTGTGTGGCGCGATATGCGGGGAACATGCGGCTCGGATGTTTGCTGCTCACCTCGGCCTTCAGCGCGCTGGCGGAAACGTTGCCCGCTACCTCGGTAGGCGGAGATGCTGTTCTCTTGACGGAGACTCTTGGCGCGGTGGCGTTCGCGTCTGCTCCACGTTCAAGGACCTTCCCGTCACCACCAGACAGACACGCCATGTCAACCTATGCGGCCGTGCCACATGGCTTCCACTTAGGATGCCACATCCCTCTTTTCCAATCAACGTCAGGCTTCAACCATTCTCCTCGGTGATAAATCCGCTGGAATATGAGGCTTTGCTTCTGTCTCTGACGTTGACGCGTTGAATCGACACCATTTAGTCAACGCTCTCTCCCGCCTTCAGTGCTGGTCAGCACTTCACTCGTCGTGTAAACGCTCCCCATCCCATCCCACCAGCCCAAACCGACTGGACACCACTACCCCCCTGCAAGTACATCTGAGCAAGTCGAACTCGATGAATCACCACAGTCGCTTCTTCGATTCACCATGCTTCAGCAACGGCTTGTGGGAAGCCCAGCCCGCAGCCATCAACACCAGCGACTGGGCCGACGCCTGGCCCGCCGATACCGCTGCCTCAGCGCCTGCCATTGGATACGGCTTGGAACTCCCAGGCTGCGGCGCCGCGCCGGTGTCAGAAATTTCGTCCGGCGAACCGCTCTACGGTGAAATCAAGTTGATTGACAAACCGCACGGCGAGCAGTTACAAGCTGACGCGATGATCATCAGGGCGGTTAGCTGCAACGACCACCAGCGCGATCTGTGCGATTCAAGAATCCTCGCCGACCTGCAGGCCGGCGCCGCCCCCGCCGCCGCGCAAAACGAGGGCCCTGCCGACTCCGCCGCCGCAGACGGCCGCGCGAACGCCGACTCGACGGCGACGAAGACGACGGCGACGCGGTCATTTCCGCTGGCGCTCGCAGGATACAGTTACGAGAATCTCAGACGTTCGCTGAGCGACTCGGCGGAGTCGCCTCGTCACCTTCGAGACGGAATCCATGGTTTCCGGGATTTAGGGTTAAACGCGGCGAACCACTCGTTCGATGCTGGCGACTCGACTCTAGCCTTCCAGTCCGCCGAGATGAGATTTAAACTCTCCGGCGCTTATGAAGCTCTCCGCGCGACACACGCCGCGAATCTCGCTGGGCTGGATCCGGCAATGACTCGTCACTGGCATCAGTCGCCCGAATCGGAAACCCCACTGGTATCAGACGCCCGAATCGCGGCTGTTCAGCAACCGGCGACTGCGGCGCGGCTGGGAGTTGAATCTGAATCGCCGCGCCTGTGGCGCGACAGCGTGCAGCAGGCTGGCGCGCCTGACGCGCCTAACGTTGCTGCTACCGGCGGTGTTAACGAGAACGCTCCTTCTAACGCGGCCGACGATGCTGGTGCTGGAATCCCGGCGTGTGCTGGAGCTGGCGCTGCAGTCAGTCGTCACGGCGGCGGTTCAGGGCTGACACTCGCAGGGCTGCTGAAGCAGATGAAGCGACGCAGAAGGCACGTGGGTGCGAGTGGTAACATGATCGACGACACTAGGCCTGCATCAACCACTGACAAGTCGCAATATCCGGAGGCGCTGTGCAAAATCGTTTCGTTCCGGGACACGGCGAGCAAGAATAGCAGCTCTGGCAGCAGCAGCACAGCTGCTGAGGACGAGGGCGGCAGCAGCACCGGCGGCATGGCGGACTGCGGCCAAGCGTCCTCGCCTCTCTCGGGAAGCGAGGCTGCCCCTCTAGCACAGGCGTTGCGCGAAACTGCTCTTGACGAACCCGAATCCCATGCTTTCGCCAAAGCAGTAACCCATGCAGTAACCACTCCGAATCCCGCGGCGATGGTAACCGCGGTGATGAGAACCCGAGTTGTCTCTGCAGCGGAAACAACTGTCACTCTTGTCCCTGCCATGCCAGCCGGGAGCGAGGGCCCTAGCTCTCCAGAGAGCATTCGGCGCAAAGCTGTGTTGGCCGCGCTTCTTCAATCGTCACTGGCGAAGCGAAGGGGTGAGGGCAGTGGTGTTGTGGTGGGGCCAGAGAGTTCAAGTCCCCTGGTGGGATTTGCTGAAGGAGGCGTGGCGGTGGAGTCTACTCAGTGTTCCAACCAGCCGACTGAAGTGACATCCTCATTAGTATCGAGCAACCCACAGATCCTTACTGGCAACGCCATGCGCCTTCGATTGCCAACATCGGAACTGACGAGAGCTGCTTCACCCTCTACAGTGCTGTCAGCTTCTGCTGCAGAGCAGCCGGAGGAATCTTCCAAGCCGAGAGGGTCGGAAGCTTCCAAGGTGGGGGAGAGAGAAATAAGGGAGATACGCGAGAAGGGTAACAAGAGGGCGAAACTCATTGCTCGGAGGATGCATGCTCCTCACACGGGACTAAGGCGAGTGGGGCCAATTGAGGAGTACCTGCAGGCAAGGAGCAATGCCCATCCCACGCCTGCCAACCGAGCCACTCCTTCTGGCCCGGAAGCTGCCGCTCCTGCAGCTGCCGGCTCGGATAGAGCTGCTACTCACCACACGATTGCTGCTGGGAGCACGAACCCGAGCGATCCAAACTACAGATCGCACAACTACGGAAACAAGGTTATTGCTCCGAAAGGGGAAGCTCCTTTTCTAAGGAAGTACTATCGCTGCAGTTTACACTCGGCTGGAGGCTGTCGGGCAACGAGAACCATTGATGTTGTGGATGGGCAGCCGGAGAAAATAACGTTCCAGGGCATGCACAACCATTCACCACCTGTGAGGAGAGCAAAGAGGGGTCGGAGACAGAGCCTGTGAAGTCCGTTAGCACTAGATACATACTTTGTGCCACTAGATGCGTACACAATTGCCACTAATTACGGTATGTCAAATGATGTATTCTGGCCCTGATTGCACACATGCCGTACAAAAGAAAGCAGTGGTTTTGCTTGCAATAAGGTAAGAAATGGCATTATGGAGAACACTGACCCATCTTCTCACTTCACATAACACCTGATTAGCTAAGAAGCACACAGAGGGCAGGGGTCCCAATGACCTACTCCTAATTTGGCGAGCTGCTAATGGTTACCCCTTGTGCATTGCACTCAGCAACAGCACACACAGGGTAACCAGCAGCAGCCCCCAAGCAGCTCTTTCAAAACCATGTACAGTGCTAACCACAGAATTTTCGCATGCGTTATTTGGTGACCACTCTAGCTGGTTTCGCGACAGGAGGAGAGCGAGCGAAAAAAAATCTGTGCCGTGTGGTGGTTCACGCGCGGGTGGGCGGGAGGAAGACCCCCGTGCCCGCAGTGTTCTGCTGGGGAAGGAAGCGCGGCGGAAGGAAAACCCGCGGCGACTCTTCCTGTGGCTGCTGCGGCGCCGCGCACTGCTGCTGCCTTTGCTGCAGCTGCTGCTGCTGCTGCTGCTGCTGCTGAAGGTGCATTAGTTGCTGCAGGTGCATCTGGTTAAGGTACATCTGCTGCCAGTACAGGCTCATCTGCTGCTGCATCAACTGTTGTTGCTGCTGGTACTGCACTTGCGGGTTTGGGGGAAACGCGGCAGACCCGTACACGGGCGCAAAGCAAGGGGCGGGCGCAGGCGCAAGGTAAGGGGCAGGGGAGGACATAGCAGCGGGGAGAAATGCGGGCCGACCCAGAATGCTGTCAGAAGAGGCGTTGCTGTTCGCGAAAGCTGCGAGTTGCGAGTGTGCGAGAACGGACGAGTTTTCGCGAGAGTAGAGGTCGAGGTCGTCGGGCAGATTAACCTCGTCCTTATCAAATTCGCTATCCGCTGACCCCACGCCGTCCGCAATGTCCGCGTCAAAAGGGTCAGCCGTATTCCAAGAAGCGACGGAAGCGCCGTTTCGAAGCACGGAAGTGGGAGAAAGCGAACCCGCGGCGGAAGATGCGGAGGAGCGAGGGGAGAGACAAGAGAAGGTGGAGGATGTGGAACAGCAGTCGTCGCAATCACTACCGCTATAGTCACATTCGCTTGTGTCGTCCTCAGCTACTTGAACCTGGAGGTGCGGCTGCGGTTTCCCCGCAGGCTTGTCGTCCTGGCTGACGCTCCAAATGCTGTTTCCGCCGAAATCGTGCGGAGAGAGGAAGAGAGCGGAAGCGGGCCTTTGCATCTGGCCGTTGGATCCCATGCTCTATCGGCCGAAATCGTGCGGAGAGAGGAAGAGAGTCGGCGGTGGTTCCGGCGTCTCTATCTAGAAAGCTAATACCGACCCGTTCAGCACGTTGAGAACCACAGCTAATGAAAGCAAAACACGGGGCAAAGTTCGCAATGCAGGATAGTTTTGGTGCTTTAGTAGAAGTAGTTGCCGTTGGACTGAACAAAACTGATTTCGTGTCTACTAATCTCTACCTACTTATGCTTTCCCTCTGACAAGTGAGGAGGTTTTCCACGAAAGGCGCGGGGACCTTCGCTGGGCTGCTGCTGCTTGTGCATTCGAGCCCGGGGGATTGGCGGGAGCTGTGTTTCTGTCGTCGTCGACTTGAGTCGTCCAAATTTCAAAACGCGTTGAATCCCGAGGAATTGTTGCATGCGGGGCACCTGAAACTAATTTGGTGAAAAAGGCATGCGTGCCCGAAAGGCCTTGGTGCAACGAAGCTGTACAGTTTTTTTAGAGTTCGGTTCGGTGAATCGGTGCCCGTCACCAGAGAAAATGCGCGTTCCACCGACCCCGAATCAGGTTTACCAGGCGCGGCGCGGTTCTGACCGCTCTCTCCTCTGCTCCGTGACAGATTTCGTCGCTGAGCTGAGCACTGAACCAATCCACCCTCCCAGTCCCACACACCCGCGCTTCCAACCAACCAGAGCAGACGGACACCTCTGTGTCGCACAGACGGAGGACCCACTCATTCTGCGACTGCACGCGACAGCTTCCGTCAGTAAAGCTGACAATAGAAGCTCCAACTTTCTAGCATTCCACATCCTGAAACCCATGCCATCTCTCCCCACCGACCCACCCACCGGACACGCTTTTATACAACAATCGGAGAGATTGATGGTGAGGGGGCAAAGATCAAATAGGGGCCGAGAAACAGCACAAGGGTGTCCAAATTAGGGCCGGGTAACCGAGCCTGATCAATTGGAGTGAAAAACAAGAGACCCCAAGATTGCTTAATTTATTTCACATGTCAGAGGTCCTGACGCGTCGTGACTAAGTGAGTGGAAACTTCACGTCGCTAGCGCCACCAAGCACTAGACGACGCTACCGGGAACTGTTAGGGCAGGGAAACAAAACTAAAACCCTTCGCGAACCTGCACGCATTTTTGGGAAGGACCAACCCTAAACACGGGAACCCGCCTGGCGTCAAGGGTTGATGCCTCCCCGAGTCGCATCCGTTTCCGAGAGGGTTTTATTTCTTAAGGTCAGGTAGAGCGACGTGTCGCAATGATATATACACGATGAAACATACCCCTAGAGGAAGACGACGCGAGCTTCCTATGAGAATAACATCGAGTCAACAACGTCGCTATCTTATTAATCTCCTTAAAATTTAGGTTCGAGTTATCTGCCTAGCCACATGGGCAGCTCCGGAGATGTATCGAACGGTTGAGATTAATCCGGCCCTTATTCGGACACCTATGTGCTATTTTTCGGCCCCAGTTTGATCTTTGCCCATGGTGAGGCGCGTTACCGCCCGCGCGGGTGTTCCACGTGTGGTGTGGTGTGACGTGTAGATTTTGGACGGCGATGTCCCCCAAACACTTCGCTCGCACTGTCGTCGAAGGGCATGCCAAGTCGTAGGGGTGAACGCAATACAAATCGAAGGGTCGAGCTGGACTGCACTCTCCGGTGCTGTTCGCCAGCACATGTGAAGCAAAAAACCACGGGATAACGACGGGATCAGGAAGGTGGGTCTCGCCTTCCTGATCCCGTCAGTTAGGGTTCGTTTACCTCCGTCAGCCTGGTCAGCCCGTAAAAAAGGTGACCAGCCTCCCATATCGTCCAAACCAACAATCAAAGTGGGTGTCTGGCGAATGCCCCTCATTTGTCCACCAAATCGAACTGCTCGAAGGCATATGGAAGCGGGGACGCAACTTCGTCTCCAGGCAAAATTCCATCCCCAAGCCATGCCATCGCCATGCCGCGTTTTTCAAAGGACAGCGATGGCACAGCCTCGCATTGCCGTTCAGGGGGGAACCTCTGAACGAGCCATTTGTTTGACAAAGGGGTTTCGAATACCCCCCATTTTTCCCCTCCCGAACACACCTTCGATATGCCGACTGTAAGGGGGTGAGTTGTGAGTTGTGTCTGGGCATGTGCACGAGGTGGCGGGGGTTGTGTTTGTGCAACATTGGATTTTATTTGCGTTTTTTACCCACGTCGAGCAATTTTTGGTCATCGGGCAGCACAAGGGTCAGTGAGGCTAAAGTTTCGCGCCATTGGGGAGAAGGTGGGGACGGAGGTTCCCGATGCGGGTGCGTAATTTCGCCATTCGCGCGTGAGAAGTTTCTCGGGCGGCATTACGCCCAAACCTCGGAGGAGGGTTCCGCCTCCGATTCCAGATGCGGTCGCGATGCCAATGCCATCTTTTTCTGTTCAAATTACGATTTGCTGGCGAACAACACCTCTATGTTATAATTTATTACACATTGTAAGAAAATTTCCATTTCCTTATGCCGCATCCAGGGTTCTCGTTATCACTGTAATTTACACTGCTCTACTGATTATAAGGGTGAAATTTAGGGCCTGCACGTCAAACATTATATGTGTTGTGTTTGTGTAGGCTGTAGTGGGTTAGCCTATAGGGGGGTCACAACATTAGGGTTTCATATTTGTACTCACAATCCTTTCTAGTTCACCATTCCAGTCCGTTATTACTGACATGGTTTCAGAGCAGGTCCGTCGCTAGGACTGTTCTTAGGGCCCACCTACCTACCTACCTACCTACTGTGCGCCTCGTGCGCCTGCGCGTCCTAGAGCGCTCCTTACCTACCTACCACGCGCACGCAGCTCGCTAGCCGCCCGCGCGTGGCTTTCCTTTTTTTTTTTACCGCGCGCGCCGTACTAGCCGCTCGCGCGCGGCCGTTTTCACGCGTGCGCCCCGCCAGCTGCCCGCGCGCGCTTTATTTTCTTCGCGCGCGGCCCGTCACGCTGCCTCCCCGCTGCCCGCGCGCCTTTGCGCTGCTGCCCGTGCGCCTCGTAGCCTCGCGCACTGCCCGCCGCTGCCCTGTGCGCCACGCTGACGCACCCGCTGCTGCAGCCGCCCGTCGCCTGCTCGCGCACGCCCCGCAGGCCCGCAGCCCGCCGTCGCAGAGGCCGCCCGTCCGCAGCCGCCCGTCGCCTGCTCGCGCACGCCCCGCAGCCGCCCGTCGCCTGCTCGCGCACGCCCCGCAGCCGCTCGTCGCCTGCTCGCGCACGCCCCGCAGGCCCGCAGCCCGCCGTCGCAGAGGCCGCCCGTCCGCAGCCGCCCGTCGCCTGCTCGCGCACGCCCCGCAGCCGCCCGTCGCCTGCTCGCGCACGCCCCGCTGCCCGCAGCCGCCCGTGCGCCGCTGCCACTGCCGCACGTGCGCATACGCAGCTGCCGCCCGTGCGCTGCTTCCGCTGCTGCTTGCGCACCGCCGCCTCCTGCCGTCGCCGCACGTGCACTGCTGCCGCCCGTGCGCCGCCGCTGCCCGTGCGCCGCCGCTGCCCCTACGCTACCTACCGCGCACACTGCTGCCACTGCAGCTGCCACCAGTGCGCCGTTGCAGCTCCTGCTGCCACGCTCCCTACTCCTGCCGCTCGTGTGCCACTACGGACAGTCGACCCCGCCCGCGCCTTACCTAGCGGCCCCGCCGGTCCCGTTGACCCTACGCAC